TTGCAGAAGCCTAAACAGCCGCAGGCCATATCGGTAAGCAGACGACAAGGTCCTGACAAAGTACAAAGGCTTTATGTTATTAAAATGCGATAAAGCGGCGCTGGCGGCGGCTTCGCTTGTGTTTCCCACTCTAGCCTCGCCAAAAGCGGAGCCTTCGCGAGCGAGTTCGTGTGCAATTAAAATCGAGTGCAGAACTCACTCACTCGGCACCAAACTTTACGTACCTGCCCTTGTTCTCCAAGATTTCGTGGATAAGCTCGTGACATGGGTCCGATTCCAATCTAAAGCTGTTCTCTCAGACGATCATTTGGTCTACGATCAGTTGCTGGTGCCTTGTCTATCTTTGAAAACGACGACGCGACACGGACTGTTCCGTAGGGTTATATAGGTGTTATATAGGTTTTCGTCGCGACTTTTACATCCCGACATCTTCGTTCATCAAAACAGAAGAGGGAGAGAAAAGTGCTCCGAGCACGCGATATATAATGCTCGTAACGCCTTTTCAGATTGACGCGGGCGATTGCGACGCCTTGGATAAAGAGATGCGCGAGCGCGCTCTTAAAACGCGCGCGCGAACGGTGTGATGCACGACGAGCTCGAAAAGGGGCGCAATCTTTCTTCATTTTCCCGTGTCTTCTTAAAACGCTAATAAAGTCAGTCCTTCGGGCTTAGCTCGCGCGACCTTCCGCATTATTACCGATCGACGTAATTTTCGGAGGCGATTGATTTGTCGAAGGAATTTGCCACGACGAGAGAACGTTTCTCGCCCGCAGGCCACGCAATTTTATCTGATGCGCGTGTACAAGCAGATCGAACTTGATAAATTCTCGGCTCTGTCCAGTCGGATAAATAATGAATTGCAAACATTCTCTAATCACAGATCCGTGCGAGAGAGAAAATGGCGCGAAGTAATATTATGCACACAGACCGCGCGACAATCTCGCGCGGGCTAACGAGTTGGCAGCGGAGCAGCAGCCCGATAATTTGCATTAATAACCGCGTGGCTCGTGGTGCCGAGCCGTAGGTATGCGACAAAGCCTCGCTCGCGTTTCCCACAATGATAAATCGCTTACGTTGGCTGACGTTGAGCGACGACGTCAGAGCGCGAGAGACCGAGGCGCTCGGCGATTTTAACGCTCGCGCGCAAACGATTGAGAGATCGATGCGCTCCATCGCCGCTTTTTTCCTGCCTCTTTGTTGCTCGCTCTTGTCGTCCCGCAACCTTTTCCAGCGCTGCTGGCAATTTGCGCTCGAGCGCCGTGTATCTCGCCGAGAACTGGCCTGACTTTTTCTCGCTTCGCCTGGCGCTTCGTTCTCTGCGCGAATTTGTTGTAGCCTGGGTTTCCGCCAAAGAGGTTGGCCGAGGCTCGAGGTGCGAGCGACGTGTCGCGCTCTCCGTGCGATTCCGATTCGGAGTCTCGCCTGGATGAATCGCTTCTTTTTAGAAATATCCATCCAGGCGGGAGCCTCGAATGTCGCGACGTTCCGAGAAGTGCTTTACGGCACAGTGCGACAGTTGCTTGGTAGCAATTTGTGGTGTTTGATAGCGAGAGCCGGGACGCCCGTGAACGCCGAGAAAAACGATTACTGCTCGCACGAGAGCCAAGTCCTTTAAAGTCCTTTATTTTGACGAATATCAAGTTTCTCCCCCTGGCTCCTTCCTCGCGCAAGAGCCTAAATATCTCTGCCGTTGCGGCCAACTCCCGATAGACTGCGCAACCAATTAGAGATGCGCCGAGTGTGTACGCGTGTGTGTACCGAGCGGGGCGCAATCCTAGCTTGGCAAACAGCAACAACAACGGTGCGACCGCTCGTAAAAGTCAGCGCTCCCTTGTTTTATGCATTACGACTCTATGAGCTTTGCCCTTGGCGATCCTCGCTGCGGACGGAACAGCGAGATACTTTAGAGGCACCTCGATAAATCCCCAACGCAGTTTTCTTCTCTCTCTCTCTCTCTCTCTCTCTCTCTCTCTCGACGCGTCGATGACAGATCGTCAATAATCCTCTCTCTCTTTCTCTCTCTCTCTCAGAAACAACGGATACGTGAGAGTGAGAGAGAGAGAGAGAGAAAGATTGCGCGTGAATTTCAATTTAGCACCTCATCGTAAACGTCGCTCGGCCGATTTAACAACTGGCAAGTTCTTAATCGCACGCGTGCTGCCCAGGCGCTCGTGGTGCATACACATTGTTTCGCGGCTGCCGTTGTTTCTTTGTTTTCGTGCGCGCGAGTTGCTCGTTAGTTAGACGCCTAATTAGCCGCAGAGATAGGCGATCTGCCGCGATATGTAATTAGCTTGGCGCCTGTACAACGATCGGGCGGCTATCTAGAGCGACGCGCGCGAACGTCGCACGCAGGTTTTAACGATTGGAGCGAGAGCGGAGCGGCGAGTCTCCGATTCGGAGAGCCAAAGCGCGATCGGGAATGATTCCGCGATCGATCGATTCGTGTGCATTTGTAAATCAGGCTCTCTCTCTCTCTGCATGTCGACCAAACGAGCAACGACTCTAGCATCGCTCGAGAAGAATGCAATGGCAATCAATTAAGTAACTCACAATAAGCGCACTTACAAAGTAGCAGACAATAATAATAGGCGGAGAGAGTCCCCCCGATTAAAGAAGAAAGCTTCAGTCTCTCGTCGACAATCGCTCGGGCTCCATTGTCTGTGTAATATAGAGAAAATCGTGGTGCGGCTCCTTAACCGATCCGTATACTTACTTACACACACACACACGTGCATCCAGAAAAGAATGAATAATCGATGCTCATACTGATATAGTTATATATACGAGAAGCAGAGAGCGAGTGAGAGAGAGAGAGCCGCCCGACTCGCGCGGCGATATTCCATAAAGGAGGCCGCCGTGACGGAAGATATTGTAAGACAAGTTCGCCGGGACCCACAGCAGACCGGATGGCTTGGCTTCCCACTCTCTTATATAGTCTCTTCGCTTCGTCGTACTTACTTTCCGATCGGCGAACCAGCCGAGCTTTGATCGCGCCAGTTTTCTTCTCGTTCTTTTCTTTTGCTTGTTGTTGCTGTTGTTTCGCGATCCGCATGTGATGGAGCTTGGCTAGTTATTCTATCATTTGAAGACGATGTTTGGTATTTTCAAGCGCGTGCAGGCCGAGATTCATGAGCGTTTCAGATTTGCGAAAGGAAGTGCAATTTTTCCTTGATCAATTTATCATTAATTTGTTGATCGGGAAGTGTACCAGCAAGATCATTTCTAATTGTAGAATTACAGTGACGAGGCATTTCTTGTGATCACCGCGCGAAACGTATTTTTACCGGTATTGTTCGAAACATGATGATCGATGAAGGGATACTACTCATTGAAAACTATCTGTTTAGTTAAGACTTTATTACTTGTCCGAGCATCAAATATGAATAATGACTCGATATCTGTACACGTGCCTTCTTCTAGCGAGTGCATCTTTGAAATGAAGGTACGATCATAAAATTGATTCTGCATATTGTGTCCCACGCGCTATCTAATTTTGATAATACTGCTGATCACTCGAAGTGTAGTATTGAAAAAATTACAACTCTTGTGCAATATCTCAATAAAAAATTATCGTAATCCATAGTAAGACAAACAATAAAGCTCTCGGCATTTAATTAAAATCCTGCTCGATATATAAAACACAAAAGCACGCTTATATGAATGGGCATTACAAGAAACGATCGGCGCTCGCTTCGGCACATTTGTATCCTTTGCTACGCGGCACTTGTCGTTAGGGATATACGATACGGATGGGGAGAGAATCATCACTCTTAATCATTTTTTTCTGCACGCGCACACACATAGACACATTCGCGTATATGTGCCTCTTGATATAATTAATTAGCTTTTTATCACTCCATACTTAATCCAGTTGTAGTTATGTTTTATAGGCACGCAAAAGCGCGTTGACAAGCAACGACTGACTCGTACGAAATTCTTTATTGGCATTTGGAAAATTGTTAAATGCAGATGCAAGAGATTCGCTCTTGAGTGTAAACGAGAAACAATAATTCAACGAGTCGCTCTGGGAGAGCCACTTAGAGCTATACTATATTTACTACGCTTACTATATTTATCTCGCGATGGTCACACGCGGCCAACGTATTTCCTCGTCCGTTAATCAATTGGTATGATAATTTGCTTATTCGCTGTAAGAAAACGAACCCGTTTTTTTACGAGGCTAAATTAAAATTTTTTTTCTTTTTTCCATTTTTTTTTCTTTTCTATTTAAATTTTGTCGTTGGATCTTTACACCGAAACCAATGACAAGGTCCATTTTACAACAAGCGTATTCGTGATCTTTGACTCATCCATCCCTGTCAAATCCAAATTGGAGAAAAGAGATGAAATTAATTAATATATTGAGGGCTTACATTAACTACTGAAAATAAAAATAAAATATACACGATCATATCGATATACGAATGCAGAACATGTTTTTCTGTTTTAGATTTCAAGGAGAAAAGAAAGGATAATAAAGCAAGCCATCGCGGAGATGTTCCGTCAATCACGTAAGTCAAACTTTTTCCGTACAGAATCATCTCGATCTCTGCTTCCCGTCGTCCGCGTATTGATCTCGAATTAACCCATCAGTGTACGCGTTCTCTGTCTATCGCAGGCTCGCGTATGCAAACCCGCGTCAAAGAAAAGACGCAAAGAAGAAGAAGAACCAGCTGTAGTCAGCTGAAGGAAACGATCGGCTGCGAGTGATTAATACGCAAGGGCTTGTCAAGCGTCTTCATCAGGCTCGCGCGCTCCCGCAAAATGCATTTCACCGCGTCTGGATTCAAACGCTGACAAATTGAAAGCTACGTCGCGAAGAAAAATAATAAGGAGCGTTTCGCCGTGGATAACAATAAACATCATTAAAGGCGAACGCCTACGGCCGTGCCGCGATTGCACAATACGCGTCGTAGATTTATATAAAGCTCGCAGCGGGATGCGAATCTAATGGCATCGGGGAATACCTTCCCGCTGATCTGGCACTCACTGCTGCTGCCGACTTTCGTTAATTGTACGATTTCGCTGTGTGAGATTCTCCATGATGACTTTTAATTGCGCCACATGTGCTTCCCTATTTCCTTCTGGTGGGAGGCCGATTATTATTTATGGACACTTCTAATACCCGAAGCTTTCGTTATTGCATACCTTCAGTTCTTCTTCATTACCAAGATGTGACTCAAGCGTCACAGGATTTTCTACGTGATGACAAATCGTATCAGAAATTCATTCGTCAGGCTGTCACGAAACAAAAAATTCCTCGTTCACGTCGGAAATACTAGTAAAAAAGGGGCTGTGCACGTTCTATAAAAATTGAGAAAAAGATAGCTAGTATATAATCACCAACCAGCTCAAAGACAAAGAGAGAGAGAGAGAGAGAGAGAGAGAGAGAGAGAGAGAGAGAGAGAGAGAGAGAGAGAGAGAGAGAGAGAGAGAGAGAGAGAGAGAGAGAGAGAGAGAGAGAGAGAGAGAGAGAGAGAGAGAGAGAGAGAGAGAGAGAGAGAGAGAGAGAGAGAGAGAGAGAGAGATGAGAGTTGGACTGTATCGGTTAATCGCCATTAAAGGACGTTCCGATTGTGGAATGGAAAGCGAGAGAAAGAGGGTGACACGACAATGTGATCCGAAAGCGATATGTCGCTCCAAATATAGCCCAAGATGCTTACATATACGCAACTCAGACAGGCCAACTAAAAACGTTTCGGCCCAGATTGAGAAATCTTACCACCGTACCAGCACGATTCTATCCAAAAATCCAGTATGGTAAGTAATCGAAGGGGAATTAGTCATTCGAAAACCAAAGATTAACTTACGTTTTTTTTTTCTTCGCGTTGTCGGAAATTGATTGATTTTTCGATTGAATTTAGGTTGACGTGTAACTTAATTTCACACGATTTCGATCTTTTTCTTCGTAAGAGCCGTAACTATATTATAATTATATGATTGCTACATTAGGTATTTTGTAAATGTGAAATTAATTAAAATTTATCGGTTCATCAATCTGTAACAAGTCTTCAAAAGTTGGATACCCCATCTCAGTGGTTAATGACAGATCACTCAACTCCGAAAAAGATATATCTTTAAAAGAAAAAGAAACAAAAATCACAGCCAAACTTGAACTACACTGGACAGCAGCAGTCATCATAGCAAATGTTCAACGTAGAATAAATGACGAAGGCAAACATAAGCGCCTCTCTGGTCGTTGGGTGGATCGCGCGGAGGAGCAACGCTCTTTAGAAGGCGCGCAGGATGGATCTCCCGAGCGCAGTTCCAGCATTCCAAGCTGCTATCGGAGCGCGTCGGAGCTGGCTCGCTCTCTCTCTCTCTCTCTCTCTCTCTCTCGCGCGCGCGCGCGCGAGCGAGTGCTTTACAAATCGGGACCGATAGGAATCCGCCGGATGCAAACTCACGATCTGCTGCTGCTGCACTACACTGCAGCGATCTATCGCCCGTGTGGCTGCTGGCCACGTGCTAAGCCGCAGGTTCGTCACGAGCAAAACTCGAGCGTCGTTCGGTGCCACGCTAAACGCTGCATCCTCTCGATCCTCTTCTTCTCTCCTGCTCTCTCATTGTTGCAGCCCAGGTGTTTGGCAGATGCGGATATACGCCAGCAATAGTTTTTTGCACTTACACGTGTAATGACGAAGGTCGGCTTACCTGAAACCACAAATGAACAAGATTCTAGTTGTATTGAAAGAAAGTGATCGTAAATTGCGCTGGCATATCGATCGTAAACGCAGAGAGAGGCTTGATGAGTTTTATATTCGATCGTGCGACGTCGAATTAATTTACAACTATTATTCCGGAATATCACAGGCGTGAGCGCGGTTATCGACGCTTGTTGTATAACGAGCTATTAACACTCGATGTATGAAGACGCGCAGACGCGAGAGGGGAAGCATAAAACCGCACTAATAAGGAAAAATAAGCTTCGTAAAGTTCGCGCGGAAGATTTTCATTAATAAAGTTCATGTCGTAAAGATAGCAATAACCAAGCGATTGCAAGCGGCAACAATACGTGGGCTTCGGTGGCGAGAAGTTGCTGGAAAAGAGTCAGCACCGCTAATTACCAAAGGAAAACTTGATTTGCTTGGCTATCTACTGTGCGCAAGGCATGGCGACACTGCGCTCAATGTTCGACACACGTTCGCGGAGTTTAAATCAGAAACGATTCGCTTAATCAGTCTCGCGTTGCCGCCGCTACGATAAGCGGCGATCGTTTCTCCTCCATCCTTCTGAAAACTGGTCGACATTCTTTGTCGGGCCGCGCGCGCGTGCGTCTCCTCATTACGTATGATCCGCCAGAGTGAGCAAGAAACGCCCGACGCGAGCGCGCGCGAGAGAGAAAGATCTGATCTACGAGCGTTTAACGAGAAGTGGCATAAGTCAGCCGCGGGTGCCCATGCCATATACCCATATACCGAGAGCAAGCCACGTGGGATTTCACGCGGTCGTTTTGCCACACGTCGCCACCACTCGCGCACGCTTGCATGTAAGAGACGACGCCGCCGCCATCGCCGCCGTCGCCGCCGTCGCCGCCGCCGCCGCCGCCGCAGACAAAGAGGAATTTCGCTTGTCCGCGCGCAAACGTGAAATTGGGCCTGGAATACTGGATTTCTCTCGAAAATAATGCCGGTCGGTCGGTTCGCTGGCCTCGCTCGTGTCACTAGCCACCGCAGCCAGATCGAGCGCTTTGTCCGTCTGCCACAGACGGAGGAGTCGGCCGCGCGACGGGTGTATCGAATGCTTCGGAGCGAATAGCGATCCACGGGATGATGCGATTACCGTACGTTGATCGCAACAGAGGACCGACTCCTCTTGCTCACCTTGCCATTTTGCTTTTCCGCCAACTCTCTACGACACAAATCGCTCCAGCTTGGGCTTGTAACTCACAATTAAAGAACCCGTTGAGGCATTTGCAATTGGCTGTATATACGCGCGGGCAAGTGCTATGGTTATCCTGCGACGTGTCCCCGGCTCGGGCAGCGCAGCGTCCAAACGATTATATGTCTGGCCGCGGCGATTTTTAGATAAGCCGTCCGCCGGTAGAAAACGGTTATTGTCCAGCGTTTTCCCTTGAAAATTGATACAATTCAAAGCCAAGAGCTCGGTGAATTTGAAGAGGGGAAAAAGGAAAAAGGAGATTCGCTCATAAGTCGATCGTCGGCATCTGGCGTATCTCTCAACACGCTATCATCAGGCCCCGTAGCCTCGACGCAAGAGAAAACGCAAACGGCATCCTAAACGTGCATAGCTAAGCGATAGGCAAAGGTCTAAACCGCGCGCGAAACTTGAGCTCGGACGCAATGATCGTATGGCTGAATTTCAAAGGTGGTTACGCGAGCCTGCGTTAAGCGACTACGACAAGCGGAGAGGAGGAGGAGGACGACGACGACGACGACGACGAGGCGCTACTCTCTCGGATTGATTTTCAGCCATACCGTGTGTGCTCGGGCCCCGTATCTTTTTCGATCCTTATCCTGCTATCCGTCCAGTTTTTTTCTCGTCCCGCAAGCTCTCTCGAGATTCTCTCCTCTCATTAGCTGCGCGCGGTATCGCTGTTGAGTAAACAGCCTCGGCGAGCGCGAAGATTAGAATCGCCGCCGCGTGTAACGAGCCGCCCCCGAAGAGAGATACGGGCGAAAAACGCATGTTAGCAGAGCCTCGCGCGCCAAGTAATTTGAGGATCACGATTTGCGCGAGCGAGCGCGCCGAGCCGAGGAAATAATTATTCGACCGAGCCAAGAGAGAGAGAGGCTCTTAACACGTGTTTGCTCGACAAAGCCGCGCAATAATTGCCGCTTTATTAAGCGTTTACACACGCCGCACGCGTGGGCGGGCCTTCTTAACAGGGCCGCGCTGCTGCTACCGCTGGAGTTTCATTATTCGCACGCACGTGGTCCCGCGAGATTCGGCCCGCACAGTCGACCGATCGTGTCGAGCAAAAAGTCTAGATACAGTATTGAGCCGAATATCGTATTAATTATAGAACCTGCAAACTGCACGAACGCACGTGCAAGCGAACGATTCAATCGAGCGCTGGCCTTCCAATATGACGCATTAGCATAATATACATTAGCATAAATACATAGCCGCTTATACGCAATGTGGAAAGCGTTTGTTTCCTTTCGATAAAATCGCCGGCGTCGCCGCGCAAACGACTATATTATTTGACGCTTTCGCTTATCGCCGCCTGGCTCGATGCCTTGCGCGCCAATGCTGCCCGAAAAAGGCATCGAAGAAACGAGAAACCCGGCGAGCCTCGCGTATCACTCGAGCTGATGCGCTTATACGTGCCCCTATAGTTTGTCTCTCCAGCAGGATACACTTTACGAGGCGACTCTGCCTCTCCTCTTTATCAGCACTCGCGTTTTGATTTGCACCTTATCCTCGCAATGATTGCACGTGTGGCCTGTCCGTTGGGCGAATTAATATGTACAAGGCATCGGTCCGATGGAAATTGCGCTTATGCAAATGATAATGAGGCTCGACGCAGACGCGCGCGCGCGCCAATGACAAAATATAATTTATCGCTGGCAAGGAGACTGGCTTCCTCGTAAAAATAGCCCTGCCAGAGCGGTTCGCGGACAAGTAATGGCTGATTCGAAAATAATTAACGTGCTGCCGGCGAGTTTCATGCGCGCGAGGCCCGAAAAAGTCGCGCTCGCTCGCTCGCGTCGTATATCGAGGAAGTGCTGGCTGAGCGCGCGCCTCGAGAGAGAGAGAGAGAGAGAGAGAGAGAGAGTATCAGCAACGATTTGATAGGAAATTGTGAGGCTTGCGCCACCGGTATTTTAATCGGCGCGCGATTACAAGAGAACATTTTCCCTCGTTCACTCCTCTCTCCGGCGCGCAATTTCGCTTTTCCAATCGCCCCGGCAGAGTTACGCGCTCGCGGCGCGCGCATGGATCAATTATATATCGTTTTCTTTTTCCGCCTTCCCAAGGATTTTCGAAATTTCCTCTCCGACGCACACACCTGCGCGCCCAGTTGTCTGTAATTGAATCTCAAATTAATTTCGTTCGCCGCGCCAGAGCTGCCGCGCGGATACGGCCATACGGCCGCGGTACAAAAGGAATATCGCGAGCTAACGGCATTTTTGCGCGGCGTTCATTGCAAATAAGGACAGTGTATCCCGTGCAATTCAGACATCAGCGTATATACCGAGAATTCCCTCTCGGCTGGCATTGCGCAAAGAAGACCATCGCAAGCTTTGAATAATCAAGGTCGTGGAAAGTAGCCGGATGGCATGCGGCGGCATTCCAGTAAATTAAATAAACACGCGAAGATGAAGAGGAAAAAGGCGGATGAAGGCGCATCCTTACACGCGTCTGTGTCTATATGTATAAATAATTTCACGTATATGTGCTTTCGCTCGTGGCGGCTGGCGGCTGGCGGCTGGCTACGGCACGCGCCTCTTCGATGCTCGCAAAATGTATACCGCGGCGGTCGTCCCCCCTCGATCTTGCAAAGGAAGAATAAGTGGCCGTGCATGGGCAATCACACTAAATCACGCGGAAACTACTGGCATCGCGCGGATTATACGAGAGAGCGGTGCAAGGCTGCACGCGCGCACGTTAACGCCAGCGCGTCATTTTTCCGCTCGCTCGCAGTACGCGCCGGCCCTTTAATCCGTGCTCGCGCTCGATTAGACGTATTTACTCGCGCCACGCACTGCGCGTGCTTCTCTTTTTCAGCGAGCCCTCTCTCGCTGTTTCCCGCCGAGACTTTGACAACGATCTTATAAGGCAACGCCTCGCGCGCGTGCGGTAGGTGCAACTCCGGAAAGCGCAAAAAAATCGCTCGGGTGAGAAAACTCCGCGAGAAAACGCGCTACATCCGCGACCGAAGGAGGGGAGGAGCAGAGAGAAAAACAGAGTCCGCACGCTCGCACTAATTTATCAGCGGGCGCTTGTGGCCGTTTAATAAGAAGACTAATGGCAGAGAGAAAGAGACGCTTGTCGCGGGCGATCTCTTTGGTAACAAGCTTGCATTGCTTTCGTATCATCGATCATCATTATAGACCAGGTCCGCTTGGCCAGTGACCCCGTCGACGTCGACTCTTTCTCTCGTCTCATCTCTCTCTCTCTCTCTCTCTCTCTCTCTCTCTCTCTCTCTCTCTCTCTCTCGCTGATAAATCGACACCCGAGCTAATTTGATTAGTTCGTCTAATGAAATCGTCATTGGCATTGGCGGTTACGAGCGGCTCGAAATATTCATTTGCCGGCGTGGATGTCTGCCGCAGAAAAGCCATCGCGGGAACGCAGAGCATCATCCATCGCGCGTGCGACACTGAATCGAACGTTTGAAGGAAAGAAATGCACTGGCAAGGGCAGGAAAAACTAAAGGTTAAATTAATTACCGGCTAATGACGTGGCTCGCGTGAGAGCTCTTCGCTAAGCCCAAGAGTGGGATTCCTTTGGAGCCCTCGACGAGTGAGCCGTGGCTGCTGCTGCTGCTGCTGCTGCTGCTGCTGCTGCTCTCTTCTTTTTTCGTACTCTACTCGGCAGAGTCCGAGCCACCGATCGGCTGGTTCGGAATTCATTT